GAGCAGGGCAGGAATGTCCCCATCCCCCTCCCCACCACCCGTGGGGACTCGGACCCCTAGGAAGGGGCAGTTTTGGGGTCCTCAGCCCACCTGGCCGTGATGGACACCCGGAAATCCTCCTCCTGGTCGATGTAGAGGAACTTCTCCTCGGGGTCCAGGACCACCTCGAAGCTGGGGAGCACTGGGGGGTGGAGCACCCAGGTACCTCAGGACCCCCACCCATGGACCCACCACCCATATCTCAGGACCCCCACCCATGGACCCACCACCCACATCTCAGGACCCCCACTCCTCCTTACCATACTCCTTGACTTCAAACTGGGTGCTGAAGACCTGGTCTGGTGAGTCTTCAAATTTGGCCATGATTGTCCACATCCCCAGGCTGGACAAGGTGAGGGGACAAGGTGAGGGGACAAGCCCGTGGCCACAGATGTCCCCAGGGCCACCCAGGCAGGTGACACCCACCTGACCACCTCGGGCAGGTTGTGGTTGAGGGAGAAGATGCCAGTTCTCATGGGTGAGGAGACGGGGACTTGCTTGATGATGACGTTGTCAGGAGTCTGAGGGGACAGGGAGGGGTTGGGGCAGGTGGCACAGGTGGCCGTGTCCTCGTGTCCCCCTGTCCCCAGGGAGGACCCACCTTGATCTCCACGATGACGGTCTTGGCCGCTGGTTCCATCAGGTGGTTGACGGCGAAGAGGCGACAGAGCACTGGGGGGGACACGGGGACAGGGTGAGCAGGGACAGGCTGGGGACACCCAGAAATGGATGCTGGGACCCAGGGGAGGTGGCAGGAGAAGGTCCCCAAATGGGCGCTGGGCCTCGGCACCCCGAGGTGCCACCAAGATGCCTCGAGGTTCCAAGAAGGGGACTCAACACCCTGAGGTGCCACCAGGACCTCAAGGTGCCACCAAGAGCCCAAGGTGCCACGGAGGGGACCCAACACCCCAAGGTGCCACCAAGACCTCAAGGTGCCACCAAGACCCCAAGGTGCCATGGAGGGACCCAACACCCCAAGATGCCAAGACCTCAAGGTGCCACCAAGACCTCAAGGTGCCACAGAGAGGACTCAACAGCCCAAGATGCCATGACGGGGACCCAACACTCCAAGGTGCCACCAAATGCTCCAGGTGCTACAGAGGGGACCCAAAACCCCAAGGTGCCAAGAAGGGGACCCAACACCTCAAGGTGCCACCAAGACCTCAAGGTGCCAAGAAGGGGACTCAACAAGCCCAGGTGCCGAGACCTCAAGGTGCACCAAGACCTCAAGGTGCCATGGAGGGGACTCAACATGACCCCAAGATGCCACCAAGACCTCAAGGTGCCACCAAGACCCCAAAGTGCCAAGGGGACTCAACAACCCAAGATGCCAAGACTTCAAGGTGCCATGGAGGGGACCCAACACCTCAAGATGCCACCAAGACCCCAAGGTGCCAAGAAGGGGACTCAACACCCCCAGGTGCCGAGACCTCAAGGTGCCACCAAGACCCCAAAGTGCTACAGAGGGGACTCAACACCCCAAGATGCCACCAAGACCTCAAGGTGCCACAGATGGGACACAACACCCCAAGATGTCAAGACCTCAAGGTGCCATGGAGAGGACCCAAGACCCCAAGATGCCACCAAGACCTCAAGGTGCCACCAAGACCCCAAGGTGCCCCGGAGAGGCCCCACCACCCCCAGGACCCACCAGTGGAGCTGGGGGTGTAGATGGGCTTGTCAGTCTGCACGAAGATGTGGCCGCTCTGGAGCGACAGCAGCAGCACCTTCTCCAGGGTCACCTGTCCCACCTGGGCGGTCACTGAGACAAACTGCTTCCCCTGGGGCTGTGGCAGAGCCTTGGCTGTCACCTGGGGGACACGGGACACCGGGTGGCACCTGCACCCCAGGGACAGGGGCCACCAGCTGGGACCCACGCCCGGGACGTGGGGTGACAGGCCCTGGGTGATCATCTCCAAGGAACCTGGGTCACTGTCCCTGAAGACCCAGAGGTGACCACCCCCGTGGACCCACAGGTGACCGCCCTCTAGTCATGTGACCATCTCTGAGGAGCCCGGGGTCACTGTCCCCAAGGACCTGGGGTGACTGTCCCAAGACCCTGTGGCCACCATCCCCAGACCCCATGGTGACC